GAATGAATAAATGAAAAAAGAAAAAAAAAAAAAAAAAAAAAAAAAAAAAAAAAAAAAAAAAAAAGGGAAAAAGAATATCTTTTGAAACAAGATATACTAAGGAAAATATTTAAGACAAAGTTTATTGCCTTTAAGGACATAGATTTGGTGGAGAGAGGAAATGAAGAAAGAACATCCTTTGACACAAGACATGTTCTTCGACGCTACATCTAATTTTGACTACTTTTTCATCTATTCAGGTCTACTCACTTATGGTTTTTCTACAAGTGCGCGGATTTGGTTTTCGGCCCACTTTAATAATAATTTTCCGCCACCGCCACTCACAGACAAAGCGTCCCTACTTACATTCCTGTCCGCCTATCGACACAACTGTAGCAAACACTGATTTTGAAAACCGAACATTGAAACAATTCTCTACTTTTATTTTTGAAATCAATAAAAATTAGCTTGATTTTCAATTTTGAGAACGTCCTTATTGAAGTCCTTAGATTTCGTATTGGAAAAGAATTAAGTTATATCGTGATTTCTAGCGAGGATTCCTTAAAAAATACACGTCGATAAAATACAAACATCTCGTTATTATTAACTGATTTTCAATCTAGGAGACTTCCAGCCCACACACTTCAATTTTAATCTACCGATAGCAATCCCTCAAATATTTACGACTTATCACTTTTTTTTTGGTATATGATTTTCTTTTTTACACTCTTGCGCCAGGATGATGTTGGAAGTTCATTATTTTTTGATGGTTTTATTAGGAAAACATAGAGCCACTTTTTTCCATTCATGTTGCTTCAATGGTTTCATTATCGCTAGATCAGCGTGCGGTTTACATCCGCTAATTAATTTATTGCCCTAATAGTCACAGTCAAGAGATTTTTATTTATCTTTCCGCCCTCAAATTCACCTTTGTGAAACTGAGCTTTTGTGAAGTCAATTTGAAGCTTTTCCTAATGTGCTTTGTAAAGACGTCTGCGCAAAACTAGAAAACATATTGAGCAATATTTCCCATCAAATTATATTTTCCAGCCCCTCTGAAATTAATCATTTTGCAATTATTTTTCTAAGTTCCAAATATTAATTTCATTTATCTGGGTTCTTTTAAAATCACTGAGGTTAAAAACAAAGATATCTGCACTGAATTTTTGATGTTCCTAGCAAATTCCCGCACCAATAGAATTTTGACAAGATCTACTTGGTGCATCGTTTCTACCTTTCGCGAAATTGCCCAACAAAAGCACTAAGCTTAGGATTTCCTCTAAAATACTTGATAGCAACTACGTGTAATTCTTTTGAGCTTCAACAACGATTGCACCACCAAGTGTCAAAAGATGAAAGGGTTGGGAAGACAAATGAAAAAGGAATTAACGCCGCGAAGGAAGTTCATCTAGCCGGCTTTAAAGAACTTATAATTGGGTTCATACGATAAGCCGAAATAAACATGTACAATTTTTACTTCTTAATTCCTTAGGTTTCATTGTTAAGCTAAACGACTGCAAACAAACTGTATCGACTGACTTAATAAAATAATATCCCCCTTTCAATAAGAAACAAATATCAAAACTACAAATAAATATAACTTCAGAACTCCAACATTCACAGATCTGTTCTGTGATATCAAGTCCGTATAGCAAATTTTTCATAATTTGAAAATAATAATTTTCTTGTGTGGATCTTATCGAAACGTTTCATTCGCCTGGCTGTCTCTCTCATTAAATGAAACAATAGCCTTGCTTCCTAACACTATATATAAATTATACAAATTGTTTCAAAATTACTTTACAATATTTGATATTTTTGCAATATTTGTGGAACAGTAGTAAATTTTTCAATAGGAAACTTCAAACCCCATTTTTTTCCCTTTTAAATTATTCCAAAATTCTTAAACTGTTCCTCTTTCCGTTTCCAGCTTTGTCGCGCAATTATCTAACTGTGGCTCCCTTACACCCTCACAGAGGCCAATAAACGCAAGGCAGGTGAAAATTAGGAATTTCCATTTATTGATTGTTATAAATTGAAAGCATTTTAGCTTGATCTCTGCATTAGTGAGACACAGTACTCCAACTACCTAGACGCTGTACACTTATTGTTCTTGCTTGGAAATGAGTACCAAGTTAGCCCTTTTCCTTCTGGCTCTTGTATCGTCAAATTGTAAGTAGTTGTGGCTTCATCAGTCAGTTGAGACGCTCCTCCTGATTGTGGGTTACTTTCGTGGATTATTTTACCTCAAATATGTAGGATGATTAATCGAGCTAGGCAAAACCTCGACCCAATTACTTACCTTAAGCTTATACCATTTTCTTCGCAGTCTCTGTTTTATTTTCTAGAATTTTTTTTCCGACATTGCTAAAAAATCCCAAAGTACTGTACCAATTGTTGAAGCGTTAGCAAAGAGTTTCTTAACAGTCTCGTTTTGATCTTAAGTTGTTTTGATCTTTTTCGGGCGGAATTTGGCAGAAAGTACCACTTTGTGTCTGACAGCGGAATTCCCATAATAATTGTACGAATGAATTCTTCCTTTTTTGTTTCTTATTCAGTTCTTTCACATTAACGACTATACGAATAGCATATTTTTATTAAAATAAGTCAACAAAAAAACAAAAAAAAAAANAAAAAAAAAAACAAAACAAAAAAAACAAAAAAAAAAACAACAAAAAACAAAAAAACGTAGACGGTGCATGTAAGTAACACTCTTTTTCCGTCAACAGAAATCCGGAATTAAAACAATTCTCTGACTTTTATTCTAATACTTCCTTTTTATTCTATTTATCATCTTTTGCATTTGGCAATAACAACTTAAAAAATATCATTTTTCTTCCAATTTTGTTTAAATATCCAACTAGTCAAAATGCAGTTTTCGTACTTGTTCTGTGTCCATGCAAAGAGCACCCTGCGTTGTAGTGTCATTCAATGAAGAGAAACAGCCATGCTACGATTTTGTCATTTTATTGTAGATTATGCTATTCTCTTTCTAATAGCAATATCTTTAAGAAAAGGAATGAGAGCAGAAAAAAATGCGTCATTAAGACATGGGGAATAAATTCTTCATGTAGATTAGTAACGAAACAGAAATGAAAAATTCTAATAGCATTATGTAAAAGTAAAACAGAAATGAAAAATTCTAATAGCATTATGTAAAAGTAAAACAGAAATGAAAACTTGTCACCTTTTTAACTTCCAATAACACTCATGAATTTTCAAGAGATTATATGAAAGACTAGAGTCTTTTTTTATGTTTTCGATAAACACCGACCAATATTTTTGAGTTCAAATCTAGCATGAATTTTTAAGAAATTTCAAGATCTTTCTTAAAAAGAACGCAATCGTTTCCCCTTTTTTTCTTCAAATATATTGAGTTCAAATATAATCAGTGAATCCTAAAGTCCTTTTCTGAAAGGCTGCAGACATTCCATTTTATTTCCATGCAATATATATTAACAGTAATTTCTCAGTCGTTTGTCATTTGTAAGGATTCATCTCATCAACCGTAGCTTGTTTTTCAACGTTATAGGGTAGTCACACCATTTGTTTTCTGTCATCTTTCTTTCCATATAATCTAAATCCTTTTTCCAAATACCGTCTATCTTCCAAATTAAATTCCTTATTGCTTTAAAGAAGTAAAATTACAGAGTCAAACCGCTTATTATTTATTAAAAACACTTATTTAAAGTCTAGTTATTAAAAATTATAATCCTAGACCTAGCATTACTGTCTTTTCTAAAAAAAAAAATGATGCTCTCTCCCCAACTTTGTCACAAGTTATTAATCAGGCTTTAAAAGCTATAAGAAATCCTGTTATCAATTACATGACATTGAACAAGAACGATATTTAATGGAGGGTCTTGAAGGGGGATCCTATTCCTATTCTCCAGCCCCAATTTTGACCAAATCCCAGAGTGCAGCAAATGTTTTGCTCAAATCGCATTCCCATTTCCCATTTCTTGATTGTTTTTTTTTTTCGTTTTTGAATCCTATTCCCAGTGCATAAAGTCCCATTTTCGCAGCCCAAAAATGGTGAATCCCAGCTCGCATTTTACCCCTTCAGGACCCTTTTCATAACCTTGCTTGGGAAAATGCATTCCCGCTTGCCTAAGCGTTCTGTTCTTCACGTTTTAACCTGTAGTCATGACAATCTCGTGACACTGCACGTCACAACATCGAGAAAAGGCGGGATTTTTTGTTTGCTTTCAAGAAATCCAAACATGTTGAAAACCACAAATCTAAGACCTTTTAAAAGGCAAAATCCAACGGACCAATCATCTTATGGATACCAGACGTGTACTGTCGCAATATTAACACGTGAAAACTTTTGCTTTTATCGACGCAATTTTTGGTAGAAAAAGTACTATAAATATTTTTCCTTACAGCTCACAAAACGTACTTCTTGTGGTTCTACTTATTTTCTAGAATAAAATCTTAGTTGTTTAGTTGAAAGACGTAAGATGAGACACTGAGTTCAGTAATCGAGCATGAGACCCTACAGGTGGGAGGCGAGTTTATTACGGCCACGCCACCCTTGATTTCCTTAAGCGATTTTTTTTTGTTTGAAATTTCAAACTGTTCCTTTCTAAAGGATATTTTTTCATGTTTCTGTTTTGCCACGCCATTATTAATCACACTTCTTGTTTTCTTTATGAGATTTTACTATTTTCTCCTCCCATAATTTTTCTAGAAAAAAAAACTTTTAATTAGGTCCGAATGCTTTGCCAAAACATTCATTAGAAAGTGTATTTTTCTTTCTTTTATTTCTACCTTTTTCAAAAAAATTCTTTTGTCAAGTTTTAGTTTTGTCGGATGTTTTCACAATACTCTTTTGGCGTTTTCCATTTATTTTTTCCCCAAGCGTACCTCTTTTCCTAAATTTCCCCGGATATCGCCAAAAAACTTTATATCTAAGTACTATGAATTGATCAAAAAAGACGCTGTCTTTTTGTTGATATTTTCTTTGATTGTAAATTGGACTTTTTGATCATACTTTTTTTTCACCCCCAAACGTGCCCTTTTTCATCCTATTTATTTCGACTTTTTAATAAGCATTTCCTTAGCTTTCGCCAAAAAAGTTATATTTAAGTACTACGAATTGATAAGGTGTCTTTTTTTATTCTATCAACGTTAGAACAGCAGTCCAGCTGCTGCAGAAAGAACTGAAATTAAAAAATCGACAATTGAAAGTTTTGCGTCAGTCAAGTCTCTGTTAAAAGGATATTAATTATCTCTGTGTCAAAGTTATTCAAAACCAAAGGATAAGAACACTAATGTGATTGCTTTGTCGGATAATACACTTTGATTGGGAATTATTTCCGAAGCTTTTAAATGTTAAAGATTGAATGACAGATCCATGTTTAATTAACTGATCTTCCGACTCGCGTTTCCAAAGATCACTCGCTTCTCATTAATCGCTGAGGTCGCGGGTTCTATTCTTATACTCGCCATCACATGTGAGTAGAGTTAGGTCTCTCACTAGTCTTCCCCACAGCCGCTTTCAGTCGTGGCGCAACGCTTTCTCTTTTGGGAAGCACGGGTGGCGTAGCGGTGTGAGCGTTCGCCTCTCATCAATGCGACCCGAGTTCGAGTCCCGCCGGGTTAGGTGTTGTATATGAGTAGAGTTGTTTGTTGGTTCTCTCCTGTGCTTCGAGGGTTTTCCGGGTTCTCCGGTTTTCCTCCCTCCGCAAAAATCAACTCCTAAAGTCCAATTCGATCACGGAATGAGGGCCACAGGTTTGTTAGCCACTGGCTATTAAGTGCTACCCTCGTGAAAAAGGACGTTTTTCCCCCCCACGCGTTGCGTGACGACACTGAAAGCGGCTCTGGGGGAGACTAGTGCCTCACTTGATTCGAGTGTTTTAACCTCCGGATTCTCTGGTTTTTCTCTCTTCGCAAAACTTGACACGCTAAATTCCAATTCGATCTGATCATAGCCCAGAGGTTGTTTCAAGGTGCGATCTGTGAGTTAGCCGTGCTCTGACTTAGATCAGCACAGAGGTTGTTTCAGGGTTCGATCTGTGAGTTAGCCGTGCTCTGACTTAGATCAGCCCAGAGGTTGTTTCAGGGTTCGATCTGTGAGTTAGCCGTGCCC